TATATATATAAAGATAATAAATGGCATCTGATTTCTAAGCCGTTATATGATTTGCTAACAAATTTCTTGTATACAGCCCATAACAATATTGTTGTATTGTAGAAAGCAAAGATATACAATCAGTTTGTCATGTGACATCATGAGAATACTTTTGTCTCCAAAACAAATTTCAAAATATTCAAACTTCATCTAAATGCATTTCAGCCCTTGATAAATTAGACTCTCTGCATGAATAAGAATGAATATATCAGCCAACCCCAAACTACATCACACTGATGTATTTGTAATAAAACTGAAAGGAAATGATGAGAACTCTCTCTCTCTCTGTAACAATTCCAAGGTTTGCTAGTGCACGCTGTCTACCTACTTACATTTTTACCCACCATGAAAACGAAATACGTTAACTGCCGACACAGCTGTCCAGGGTTAAAGGTAAATCTGTCAGGAATGTCATCGAAATACTGTTTGCTTCCCTGTCATGTTGCCCCTTACCCATAATAATTTTGGTAGTATGCAGATCAGAAAGTGAGAACAATGTCTAAAGTATAGGTTGTTCTGAGTCAGTGACTTGAAGTACTCGCAAGAAGAACACGACAGCCAGGCAACAAATATATTCAGTGGGAATATTTCATGCATCTCTCATGACAGGTTTCTTTTACAAAGACTCAGAAGGCACTGAACATGTACAGTGTTAAAGGACAGCACTCATTTCACACGCTTAAGAAGAAACCAAAGCTCAGAGAAATAGGTAGACTGCCATTGCTATCATATTCTAGTTGCCTGGCTATCATTCTGATCCATTGCTTTCCAAGTCACTGACCTGAAAAAAGAACACATATCAGGGGTCAGGACTTCAGTCTAAACTTGCCAGGCAAGTAGGAATTTTAGACACGAGTAATGGTTGCGTGAACATTTATCCAAAAACAGGTTTCCTTTAAAAGGAGATGGGTCTTTAAATTCATTGCTACCCTACTCATTTTAGTGATACTAGTGGAACTATTTATAGCAGAGAGTAAATAACCTATTTGCTTGTCACCACAGCAGTCACTCTAAATTACGGCTATAAGTTGCCATTCATAAATTGTAGGCTGCTATGTGGAGCTTGCATTGTCCCACTGAGTGTGTTCTGCATTGTGCTGCAGAGAAAATTCCCTGCTTGGAGGAGAACAACTTCTTCATACAAGGTAGGCAGGCTGTTCCCCGGCCACTGCATGTATTTGATCCTTTGAGTTGAACACTTACTACTCACGCAGTATGCTGTGGTTCCTCACCCCCCGGCTGCTACATACTACACGTATGAGCCGGGGAGATTAACCACAGTGTGTGGCTGGGGAACAGGTATCTACACACCCAGAAGTGTGGAGTAGATGCAGCGGCTGTGAAGCATGGAAGCGGCGGCTTTTCAGCACAAGGTCCACCAGAAAGGCAAGAATATTCAATCTTACTTTACAGCCTGCCTTGTGTGTGTCAGGTGCTCAGCGCCAACAGTCAGCTAAAGCTGAAGGCTGCCAGCTTGTAACAATCATCAATAGATAAGTAAATATGAAGGTTTCCTAGCAAGTCAATCCTTTGCAAATATTTGATCCAGTTATAAAAAGTATCCACACCATCAAATACATTGTAATAATTCAACTGGTGTATCACTCAACCAACATTACCAGAAACCAGTACTCTGGAAAACCAGTTATTCATTTTCCAGAACAGAATTATCGTTGCTTTTTGAAGTTGGATTTAAAAAAAAAAAAAAAAAAACCCAGAGCCCAGCAATTTGCAGAGGCACAAAAGAGTTGCAGCAATGCTACAGTAGTGAAGTTGCTTATCCATGAGGTTAGTGGTGTGGGCTTTTTGCTACTACTCATTCAGTATTCTACTGCTGGGAGAGGCAGCTTTCTACAGAATGGACCATAAGAAAAATAGCTTCAACTAAACAGAGTTAATGCTTTTTCTAGGCTGAACATCCCCCAGTAGATCACAGTTGTAGCGGTCATACAAATTTGCACTGTTGGCTTGGGTGGCAGTTATTATTATTGAATAGCTGAAGTGTAACACTGGTTTGTGCTTTACAGAATTGTGATTTGTGGAAGAACTCAATGGCAGGATCATGATCACACCCACCCCAACAGAGGTAAGTAAGATGGTTCCCCTGTTTCTTCATGCCTGTGTCCAGAAGGTAAGAACCCAGCGATAGAGCAGGTAAAGGAGAAGCATAAGGGTGCAGTAAAAAACCCCAAAGCCCAGGAGGTGGGAGGAAAGAGCAGGTGCTTGTGAGCCTTCTCCAAAGGAGAGGAGACTTTCCAGAGTCCCCTTAATGTTGCAGAGGTTTAGATGAAGAATGTCTGAAGGGAGACAAACTTTGTCCTGTCCAGGGGGCAAGCAGGAAGGGAAAAATAGAAATGCAGAGTCAGTCATGCAAACACAATCATGCAGTTAGAGTGACATCACTGAAGATACTAGAACCTTGATAATAAAGAGAAAGACAGAAAATGTGATACAAAAAAAGCAGTATGCTCCTGGTTTGCAAAGCATCTTTTGTTGTATTCAAAAACAAAAAAACTATAAAAGGCTAAATGAACACAACAATTACATAGTTAATCAAACAGTTTTACACATCCCTTACCAACACCTGGTGAGCTATAACAATCTTGTATTATCATTACTGTATCAATCTCTTTCATGCTAATGCTACACCATATACCCTTCTATTCTGTTAACTCCCAAATCAAATTCTGCTTTCACTAATCATTGTGAAAGAAATGTAATGATACTTCCTTACTATGACTGTACTAGATCACCATATCCTAGAACTTCAGTGATTTATTCAGCTATTTGATACACAAAGATTGTTCTTGTCTGGCCATGTACAGTACAGTGACACTATTGTAAATTGAGGCAATTAGAATATGGCTAGACAGATCTGCCGTACATTGTGTGACAAAAAACTGCTTGAGGCAGCAGGCTCGGTCAAAATGAAAGCGGACTGAACAGTGAATTCTGCAAATAAAAACCAAATAAGTGTCCTGAAAGCTCAACAGTGATACACATAGTAGTAAATGTAGTACTTAAAGCAGATATAGCAACAAGGCAGATGCCTACCCTGTGCACTGTACTTTTTTTCTTTAATACTGCCAAAGCAAAGCAACTACCGGCAAGCATTTCAGAGAAGTGAGTTAAGAACAGAATGAAATGCTTCCACGCACACAAGAGACACAATATAATGGAATCGCATCCAGCATGTACACAGTTTCTCCCTGTAGTATCTTACCTGGGGCACACCAATTTTCTTGCAGGCTTCCAAGAAGTTTTCCACGTTTCTCCTGCATTTTGCCATCGTAAGCTTAGGCTGTTGGAGACAAATCAATGGTGTAACAGCTTGTTTTGGACAAAAAAAATATTAAAATAAAAACAGATAAAGTACTTACAACAGCCGGTGAGGGAACGTGGATACTAGGCACAGATCTTGGCCGAACATGATTGGCTAGATGACACAAAACCACACCATCTGTCAGAGCTGCTCCCAAGTCACTAGGAAGTGACAACTTTAACCGTGACTCTATGTTCTACAAGAACAAGGGGAGAAATAAAAAAAATAAAAGTGTTCGTTAAAAGAAGCTGACTTGTGTTACAAAATTACCAGTATAAACTAAAATGGCCTTTCTCAACCAGGGTTCCTCGAGCAGTGGCAGATTCCTCTCCTGTCAGATGGTGCCTACATAGTTCTGAAATCAACATCTTTTAGCAGAGGCAGCAGCATGGGACTAATGGAATCTCTCGTCTCCTCTCTCAGGTAAGTAACCACTAACACCAATGATCTTTCCAGCTGTCTGTAAAGGGGCATTTCGATTCATAATGTAAGTGGCCACTTCATCACTGACCCCCAATGTAAGGAGCCAGTTCTTCACCCACTATAAATGTAAGGGGGCAATACTCCAAAGACAATGAATGTAAAGTGACAGATCATTTTTTTGTTGAGCATTATTAATACTACAGTAAGCTCCCCATTTTCCAACTCTCTAGCAACCGGCGAAAAAAATACAATTTAAAAAAAATCGGAGGACATAATAAAGATGCTGGTGGCTTGATGCACACTAAAGAAAATGTTGATTGCTTGGTGCACACTAAAAAATTTCACTAGCAACTAAATTTATTTGCTAATGAAATTCTTTGTTTACATCTTGCTGCTGGCTTGATTCTGCGGTCAGCGGCAGAATGCAAACAATGGGGAGCAATAGCCAGCCTACTATTGGCTATTTCAAATTGCAATAGCTGGCTAACTTCTGTTCTCGCCCCACTGAGCAGAGGAGCAGACCTGAGAGAGAGATTTCTGCCTCAGGTTAGCTCCTCTGCTCCGTGGGCGGGATTTCAAAAGCCAGTGTGCTATTGCAATTTGAAATAGCCAATAGCAGGATGGCTATTGCACCACTGAGCAGAGGAGCGGACCTAGGAGAGAACTTTCTCTCTCAATGTCCGGTTCTCTGCTCAGTGGGCGGATGCAATTGCGAGCTTGCTGTTGGCTATTGCAATCTGAAATATGGGGTTGTTGCTTGAGAGTCACTATTAATACTTAAGCAACCAGAAACTGCAGTTATCCAGCACCTACCCCATGGGTGCAGAATAACTGGGAGTTTACTATATTAGTTTCATTCCATATATAATTGGGTTTTATAGTGCAGAAGGGTTTTAAAAATATGATCGGCTCTGGGTGTCAAAAATACACTAAGTTTTAGTACACAAACGGAATCCTTTAAAATTTCCAAAGCTTTACTTTATATCAAATACACCAAGTACAGACACATTTGTATTCTTTTATTATCTACAACTTGGTGATCACACCAATGTAATGTGACCTGCAGATATACATTTTAGAATGTAATCCCTGAAAAGGTGGTTTAAAAGGCTGAGAAAGTCTCTCCTAGAGGATTCTGCTGTACAGTTTGACTAGGGAATTGAAGGCAGTGCAGTTGCAAAGCTACATACCCCTGTAGTGAATCCAACAGGAGGAATTTACTAAAACTGGAGCAGCACTGAGTGGCAACCAATCGGCTTCTATCTTCAGCTTGTTCAGTTAAATGTTGAAAAGAAAATCTAGCCGCTGATTGGTTGCCATGGACAGCTGCTCCAGTCTTAGTAAAATCCCCTAAATGTTTGTTTCAAACATACTCATTGCCCCTACTCTTGGGTATAAAGTAGATGAGAAAAAATAAAAAAAATCAGACCCCTAAATTAAACTGTTACATGTGAGACTAGACTAGCAAATGTTTGTCTAAAAACGTAGTTAAGTATATAAGTATACCTAAAGCCAAAACTTGTTTGTTGCTTAGTTTTAGATTGAGGAGGGAATGTGTCCTGTGGCAAAGATTTTACTTTAGTTCTTATACCAGAGACTAGGAATGCACTGATACCTGTTTTTCGGTATCGAGTACCGATACTCATCTTTCGGTATTAGTCGATACTGGTACTTCCCTAACTGACTCTACTGATCTAGAAAACTAAAATGAGACAAGAAAGGGGAGATGATTAGCAGTCCAGACAAATGCTGCCAGCAAAGTATATTGCAAGCAGCAAAAAAAGTAGTAATCTGGATAGGTTTCATAACCTGTCCCACTGATGGTGGCCAGTGGCATCTGGTGGAACTTAGACTGGAGATTCTCATCTTCCCGGGATGGGACACTGTTCTCGAAAAAGTTTCTTTTTCATGGAAGTGCTTAAAGCATGAAAAGATTAACTGCAAAGAAGCTAAAGGGAATGTATAACCAATGTATCGATAAACGTAAGAAAAGATCATCACTCAGCTGTGCTACACACACAGACATTTACTGCATGAGCAACCATCAATAAGGCTCTAGAAGTGCCACATTGTACACAAAGGCATATTTGCACCACCAATCTATGCAATCTAGCTTTAAAAAAAAATATAAATGGTATGCATATACAGTATATTATAATACATTTTCAGCACATGCTGGATCCTACGCTTATTCTGGCAGAATCTGAATCTTTAAAAGTTTTTGTTGTCATTTCATTTAGTAACTCTACCCAGTTGCAAAGTATGTCAAATAATAATCAATCATGTCACTAACAGTATCTGAATCAGCGATGCATCAGAGTTGGACAGCTAAAGGTGCCCATTCACCTTACGATTATCGTCCGACCTTCTTTGCAATCGCGTTTTTGTCTGATATTCGTAAGGTTGATGGGCAGTGTATAACCGCAAATACTGTACAATCATAAGACTGACTTTCCAGCATGTTAAAAAAACTTTGGTCGATTGTATGATTTTCGCAAGGTTGGTGGCATTTTCCGTACGTCAAAATTCATACGATTAACACTGCTCATGCGCAAACGAAAATATGTGCGGTCGATTAACGCAATTCGTCCAGGTGTTTTTTTTTTAACTACCGCTAATTGAACCTTGCAATAATCGGGGCAGGATGGTGCCGCCATACGAAAATCGTACGACGGTTCGATCCTCGGACGAAAAGTTTTGTACGATGATAGCAAGGTGTATGGGCAGCTTTAGGAAGGTTTCTAGACAGAGGTTTACAATAAAATAGAATGAATGTACATTGTCACTTCACAATGTTCCATAGTGACTACATTTTCAGCTTTTAATGAAACACTCACCTTTCTGGTTTAAATGCCATTTTTCATACATGCATGTTTTCCCAGCTAGCTGAGATACAGTCACACAAAGCCATTCACTGAATTATGAGGAGTGATAATTATCAGAAAGCAAACAAAAATCAGGTTTCAGGTGCCCTTTCACAAGTGATATAAACCAAGTAGGTCACACAGATGTCAATTCAGATGGTTGCAATCAGACAGTATTATGGGGCTGGGTACAAACCTTCCTGAGCTGATCTGTTATGTCCTGCTCCTCTTGCCGAATTCTAGAGCTTTGACTGGATGCAGAGTTTAAACCGTCACTTGAAGGAGTAGCTGGAGGTGGTGTGTTACCTGTTACAAATAAACGAATTAAACAAAAATACTTGCATGCAACATCAAGCTGTATACACAAACAAACAAGTCCAAAATGAGAAAGTAGGAACAGGATTGCCACTCACTTCTTTTAACATCCTCTCGAACTGCAGCTCTGAATAAGAAGCTTTCAGGTCTCTGAGGGGAGCTGTGATATGACGAGGCAGACGCTGGCGAAGACAAATGGACTGCAAAGCCAAACGTAGATGTCAGCAATAAATAAAAGTATAATGACTGACTAGAGTAGTCATATTAAAAGCCACCAGATAACGCACTTAATGATTGTGCTGTCAGTGCCATTATTTTCTAATGGCACCCAGTCGTGCCAGGCAGATTGCGCGGTTTCCTACTGCAATAAAGCCCTGTCCGTGCGGTTGCACACGATCGCAGTTGACAACACTGCGCGTTTATTCGCATGCAGATGTGGGCAGCGGGGCTGGTTTTCATTTTTTTCAATTCTTATTTACTTTGTAAAAAATTTTCGTTTTATTATTTTTACTTTAATCGCCTTTTTATTTTTTACATTTTTATTTAGTTACATTTTTATTATTTTTTCCTTGTTTAAAACTTTTTTTAAAACTTAACTGTATTGCTATCACACAGGGGTTAACTCGTTCCGTCCCCGCCCATCCGCTCTCGGCGCTCTACGTCCCCCGCTCGCAGCGCCGCTCTTGGCGCTCATTTTAGGAAAAGAAAACAAGCCCTGCTACTTGTCCGTAGCAGGGCTAAAACAGCGGAAAAAGCACTTGCCCGGCGCCGGCTTTTTATTCTTTGCATACCTTATTTTTTCTTTTCCTCCCTATTCTCACAGTGGCCATTTGTACTAAGAGCAGATGAATCCATCTCCCGTTACATCCTGGATCTCCGGCACATGTGACCATGCACATCATCTCAGGGGAGGAAAATAACTTTCCCTGAAATCTCATGATATTACAGATGAGATTTCCAAACAATGCTCTGCTGATGTGACCATCCCAGGATGCATTGCTTGGGCACATTACCAGGAAGTAGAAAACAAGACATTGTAAGGCACTGACCAATGAGAAGCGCTTCTTAGCACCGCTAAATACGGTTTTGGTTAAAATAATTTTTTTTGTATCAGGACAAGTAGATTGTCATGAGGGACAAGTAGATTCGGCCCCCGCTTTAGTCCTTGGACAAGTAGTTTTTTCAAAAATGTCCACACCCCTGAGATTGCCATTACTACAAATGACTGAAGGTGTATTTGTTATAATGAAGATAAGGGTAAAGTTCCTCTAAGTGCGTTATCTTTGGTGGCTTTTAATATGACTACTCTAGTCAGTCATGATATATTAAATAAATTAAAATGAGGGGGGAGGGGGGGGGGATGTGCCGGACAGCATCGCTGCTTGGTTGATACAAGTGATCAGATAACTTGTATAACAACGGCCGAAACTGCATGTCCCAGGCATTGGGCGGTAGTAATTCCACACCCCTGAAAGCTGCATGCTGATGTGATTTTTAGCCAAAGGAGGTAAAGGTCCACTTTAAGTGCCATTTAATATGGTTACATATTATTGTAGCTCTTACTTTACCAAAGGGAATAACATAACATACTGTATGTCTACACACAAAACAACTAGACATGAAAACACTGTATATATGTGAGAATAAATACTTTGCTTACTCGTTTGAGAGGTGGGCGATACAGGAGTGACTGATGACCTCTCATCACTCTGTAAACAAACAAAAAAAAAACATTACAAAAACCAAAATAAGAAACATAATTCACACAATCAAGAGTAGCAACAGCTGTGAAACAGGAATTTACAAAAAAAATGAATATGAACTTGGAATATGTACAAATACAAGGTGTATATGAAGTTTGTATGTGTATATATACCTATACACACAAACACGGGATCTATCCTTAAAGTTTGGGAACCCTCCCCTACTGCCCCACTCCCAAAATGTTATGGACAATATACATATACACGGTTCATGCATATAAAACATTATGAGCAAATAATGAATACAAAAACCCTTCTGTAAAGAACAGGAACATATATAAAGATCAATTACGATTTCTGCAAGCCACACAAAGATCCAGAAGCCTAGACTTGATGACTGTTGTGTATTTAAAAAAATACAGTGGCAACTTCCTCAATTGGGATGCACAAGAAAAGCATGTGAAAGCTTCAGAAAACTCATCTTGAAAGCTTCAAAAAAAATAAATTCTCATCTTGGAATTTCTGAACATTCCCCAATCACAATTGCAACTCGAGAAGGTTCAAGCAGCATATAAATTGTCATGGATAACGGAACATAATGTTATTGATGCTGGAATGAGTATAGTCACAATGAAACAACAGTTGTTACTTAGCCATGGTAAAATGAAGGAGAAGACTGAAAAATAATAACATTTTGATATACCGAGATAGCATAAGCTGGCATGCTTTATTCACCTGGATGTGGCTTCCTGGCCTCCTTTTTATGGTATTGGTGTTACAGTCAATCTCAAAGACAAAGTGCGGCTCAAAGCCATTCTGCCAGCAGCAGGAAGAGAAGACAGAGGAAAGAAAGATGGAAACAAGGCAGCCAAGACAGAAGTGATCCAGAAGATTGACCAAACACATTTGTTCTCACAATGGGTGGTTGATTTTGTTTTAGAGCTGCACCGCAAGTCACCAGCCAACAGCATGCAAATATTATAAGCAGCAAGAAGCCAAACTTAGCAGTAATGATGCACACAATGTATAGCAGAGTTTACCGCTATTACTGAAACTGCAATTCCGAAGCACACTGTGGTGAGGACATGTTTAATGCAATGCATGACAAGACAGGTTTACACGCTTATTGCCGGTACATACAAATAGAATGACCGTTTAAGGCTTACATACAATGTATATTAAACTTTGCCATAGACAGTCAATACATACTGTACTGTGAACGCCCCACAACATATGCTACACAACTTGAGGTTGTCATGTTTTGCACTGACCTACAATCAAGGCTGCATATAGTCCAATGTGGAAGGAATCCCATCCATAATAACAATGTTTTAATAGTCTGGAGCACTGCAGCTTGCTTAAAAATGAAAGATAGTTTTTACACGTTTACTGCTGTATAAAACTAGATCCCGCCATAGACGGGGAAGGATTATTGCATAATACAAGCATTTTCAGCGGGATTTCACAATATTTTTTTCAAGCGTATGGATCACAATCATATTCGTGAATTAAATGAGACAGGTGTCACTAGAGAACAAGCATATTTTAATGTCGTCTGATATTTTATTTATCTCTACTGAACAGATAGAGGTGAACAGATATATACAATACTCAGGGCCAGATTTCCCACAGGGCCACCGAGGCCCGGCCTTGGGGCAGCAGGGGTGTGGAATTCCTATATCGCGATGTCCGGGACATGTTTTATTCTACATTTAGCCCTTCTTTGGGCAAGCAGGGCTAAATGTAGAACAGGGAAGCTGCCGCTCATTTTGTACAAGTGATCTCGGCAATGTCACAGAGATCACTCGTATGCAGACTGCAGGTTTGTCCCTCCCGCCGCTGCGGGGAGGGGGGTGTGCATTGAGGGACCTGGCCTTGGGGCAGCAGAGAGAGTTAATCCGTCCCTGACAATACTCCATATTGCTACTTCATTTGGGGTAAGATCTTACAATTCCAATCAATAGTGTCTGTCCATACAAATACAGTAGGGGGAAGGCTAGCACCCCCCTATCCGCTTTTTCTTGCTGTGTGTCCCTGTTGCAGATTTTCCCTCACTTCCTGTCACCATGACAAATAACTGAGGGGAACATTGCTGTAGTGTAGCCCCAGATAGCAGTAAAATCTGACCGGGACTCTAATCATTCTCCTCTATCTAAAACTTAAAAAAATAAATGTAGTTGGTTGTACATAAAAAAAAAAAAAAAGTTTGCATTGGATGATTGGTTGCGATGCATCATTACACTCCATTACTAAAGAAGCTTAAAATTGTAATGTTTAAGAAGCCGAGAGGCATTTCTATTTCACATGCCATATAACACACAGACAAATCAAGGCTCATTGTACAAGAAGGTGGTTTTGTACAATCCATACATCTCATTTTCATTAGTAATCTCTCGTGTAATAACATCCCATACAGGTATAAAACCTTTTTAAAGGTTACAAAATAAAGTATTTCATGGAAACAGATTGTTTTATATGCAATGCTTCTCTGTACAGGCAGAATTGGTATTATGTTATAAAAAAAAAACTTAAGAAATATATGATGGAAATAGATAAATAGGCTAAAGACGCACTGTGATCACAAGACAAAAGAAAACAATGTGCAATGGTTCTGAGATGGTCCATGCATTTAATTTCTATCTAGCCATATCACAAGATGGAAATGCGTGCAGTGCAGACAGGATGTGGAATACATGTTTTACAAATGGAAATTTAAATGCAAAAAAGCATCAAATAGTCCATTCAGATTGTCCGCTATGGGAAATTGTGTTAACGTGTGTTGTTCTAAGTCACTGCAATAAAATCAAAGTGCTGCCAACACACCAGACAAATCAGCCAAGCTTGGACATGCAGCACACTCCAACGCATGGAAGTGCACTAACGCATGAACAATGTGGTAACGTGCTCCCTTTCTACATGTTACCACAACACAGTTGGTGTGATTGGGCCATCTGTCACTTTGAAAAGAATCTACCAGTTTTAAACAACTTTTTTTTATGGTAGGTCATGAACATCCGTGTCTGCATAGGTCAGCTCATGTGTTGGAAATGAGATGCCTTACAGCAAAGCAATACGATATAATCTACTAAAGTATTCCAAAATGTGTCAGGTAAAGGAATACAAAACATGTCTAACCAGTGGGGATGTTTCCACAAACAGATAAAGCCAATGCATATCCTAAATTTAGCTTCAATGTTATACAAAATCTGTGCAGGACTAGTAAATACGAGCAAACAGTAGCAACATCTTGTTATCAGATGTAGCATAAAAATAGAACGTGTCAGTGGCACGCTACTTTCGCCAGAACTTTACATAAATGCCCCCAGTCCACATTATCAAAACATATTAAAATGAAGAGTTGCATATGCAGAACCCAGTGAAGAAATATCACATTGCAGGCACTCAGTCCATAACACGGGCACACTCCTGAGGCGGTCTTCAGAGGTAAGGACTATACCAGTGATGGGTCACGGTCCTTGACCTGTTAAGCACTCAGTGGCTAACAAACCAGTACACCAGGTGTTCTGGGAGTGCCACAAGCAGAGCCCAGTGAACACTAGCCACTCAATCCTCAATTTGGCGGAGTCTGGGACAGCCTCTTTGCCGATGCTGAGGATCAGGCGACCTGGATAACTGCATAATAAATCCCAGCTCAGCAGCTAAGAATCTGGATTGGAAAAGTAAAGAGGTCTAGAAACAATGGGTTTACTGTTCATCAAAAAGACATCCATCGGCATAAGACAATAGCATAAAACTGAAGCATCATGGGAGTGGGAGGGGTTATACATATCTAAATTTTTGAGGTCTTGTCAGTTTAAAAAAAAAAGTGAGGAATAAACAAACAAATCCTGGTTTGGTCACAGCCAGGGGAACGTTATGAGAGGCAGAGGCATGGATTGGCTGCTCTGGAAAAAGCAGCCAATCCGCACCACAAGGAACACACCCCTGGTTAGAAAAATCCCCAAAGCAGCAACCCAGAGGGACCCAGAGACAGGGAACCTAGATGTTTTTAGTTTAGGAGCAGCAGGAGGAAAGTGCTAGGGAAAGTGAATGCATTTTCCAGTGTGTGTGTCTGCTTAAACGTTGAACTGTACCATCAAGAACATGCCCACTGATGCTGCTGCACTACCATTTTTTTTATCCTGACAATGTAATCTTTATGTTCATTCTTTACAATATACTGCCTTCAATTTCTGTTTAAAGCTGAACGCTAAACAAACCAACCGTTCAATACAAAGATGAAGTACATGTAAGGTGACTGTTCTAGCTGTGAAAGGATTTGTATTTCTGTCCATCTACTTCTGAGATTTACACAGCTCTACCACACAGTACAGCCCTGTCTGGCAGTGCAGAAAACCTGACATTTCTCTCCTGCAGTTCACTGAACAATTACAGGTTCTTGTCTGTGACTGAACCATGAATTGAGAAGCAGCATGCTCATCTCCCTGTTACTCTGCTCTCTCCTACTAACGCCATACTCCTTCCACTAGAGCACAACTGATTAACTCCTTGCACTGCTTCTCCCTCCCTCTGCTGTACAGTGGACTTCAAGAGACTAATGCAGGTACTTACACTGCTTGCATTCATAAAAAATAGGATTTTGGTACTCACCGTAAAATCCTTTTCTCTCCGTTCATTGAAGGACACAGGGAACAGATCGGAGATCATGTACTGTAGGGTAATATCGCCACCTGCAGGAGAAGGACGCTAGGCACAAAAAAACTAAAGACCAATTACAGCCTAGGGGCGGCCCCTGCCGGTGGCCAAACCCCCCACCTACTGAGAAGTCTCCAGTTT